ATTGGTGGATGAAGGGGAACCAACGGAAGCTTTTCCACTAGTAAAACCCCGAATCCATCTGCTTCTCTCTCTACCACCACCATTTCGACAGTCATTACTCAGAGAACCTCTACCCAAAGCCCTGTGATTCTCTCCTGTCTTTGCTTCACGGAAAATATTGATCTAATATTGAATGTTTGCATAAGTAGTGTTTGCCCACACCAGAGTTGGCTGTTAACTAATAATCGAGGTCTCAGTGTGAGTGTCTTGATTTTTTAGAAGTGTGTGTGTAGGGCCAAACTGGCCAAATGTTGGCTCTGGAAAATCTTTGAGTTTCGTAATATAAAACAGAAGTTTATTAATAAAATCTTATTATTGCACACTAGAACAGAGGTGCCTCTTCGTTTTCCAGCTATCAGCTTTCGCCTTGGAGAACAGACGCAGCAAAGTTTGTCTCGGGGGCTATGGAAAAAGCCATTATGGACACGGGGTGGCCTTTGTCCTCAGATCTTCAGGATTTTAGGATGCATCAGAGGGTGGCATTGCATTGCTGCCCCTGCCCCGGCGTCACTGCGGTGAGCTGGAAGGGTTTCTTCTGACAAACCCACTTGTGGTCCCCATCGCAGGTTTCTTTCTCCACGTCCTCCCTTTTCATGGTCCAACAACTGTTCTCCTTCAAGCTGCAAAAGAAGGGGGGTTTGGGCACGTGATCCCTGGATATCAGAGTTTCTCCTCTCATCTTTCACCCTCCCATCGATGGATGCTTCAGGCCTGATATGGTGCCGAGCTGCTTTTATACTGCCAAAAAGCACATCTGGCCAAGGTACTCACGCTTCCATGTTGAAGGGTGGGTTGTCCATCTGCTGCTGCTTCTGATCAGATGACCCTAACTCAATCCATATGGGGGTGTTTACATTAAAAATCTTGATGATCTCCTGGAAAAGAGAGGCCCTGGTTGCATTAGAAATCTCTCTGTGTCTTTGCAGAGCTGTCTAGGGAATAAATCTGACTCATTTTATCCCAAGTAGAAACGAAACAAGTCTCGCCCTTGCTCTGAGTGTTGCCTCCCAGAGCTGTGTCCAAAGCAAGACCCGTGAGTGCAAAGAGCCTCACCTAAACTTAGACCTTGAGGTCTAAATGGTGTCATCAGAGCTCAGCATCTCTCCATGCTTCAAGATCGAGGGAGAGAAAAAGACCCTTGGGGTGATCCACCAAGAAGGACCTTCCTGCCCGGTGGGAAGCCACCCCGTTTGCTCCGCATTTACCTGTTCCTTGTTGTCCAGCAGCCGGGACCCCTCTTGTTCACAGAACTTCTTGCCGTCCATCCACCTGCCCGTTCCTTGGGAAAGCCAAAAGCAGCGGCCCTTGTGCAGCAGCCACGCGTTGGGGCAGAGCTGGCAGCCGGGGCAGCCTGGAGAGGGCAGCGAGAGAGGCCGAAGGGCGCGCGAGGCTCTTCCTCTCCAATGGAGAGGTTGGAAGGGACCCCTAGACCAACCCCTGCTCCAGCTGGGACACCCAGAGCACAGGGTGGCATCAAGGTGGGTTGGAGATCTCCAGAGAAGGAGCCTCCACAGCCTCTCTGGGCCGCCTGTGCCAGGGCTCTGTCACCCTCAAAGTAGAGAAGTTCTTCTTCATATGGAGGTGGAACTGCCTGTGTTTCAGCTTGTACCCATTACCCCTTGTCCTATCACTGGCCACCACTGAGAAGAGTCTGGCCCCATCCTCCCTACATTCACCCCTCGAGTACTTATACATATTGATCAGATCTCCTCTCAGCCTTCTCTTCTCCAGGCTAAACAGGCCCGGCTCGCTTTAGTCTTTCCTCATATGATAGATGCTCCAGTCCCTTCATCATCTTCATTGCTCTGCGCTGGCCCCTCTCTAGCAGCTCCACATGCCTCTTGTCCTGGGGAGCCCAGAACTGCCCCCAATGCTCCAGGTGCCTCCCCAGGGCTGAGCAGAGGGGCAGGATCCCCCTTGCCCTGCTGGTAATGCTCCTGGTGCAGCCAGGAGCCCACTGGATCCCACTGGATCCCATTGGATCCCCTTGGCCTTCTTGGCCTCGTGGGCAACCCGGTGTCAACCAGGACTCCCAAATCCCTCTCCGCGGAGCTGCTTTCCAGCAGGTCAACCCCAAATGTGTCCTGGCACCTCTTTCCTCCCCAGGAATACCTGAGGGGCTCTCCTGGCCCGGCTTGCAGAAATACTTCATCGCGGCAGCGCGCCAGCCGTTCTCCGTGTCGTTCCCTCCTTGGGATGCGCCGACGCGGTGCGGAGCGCTCATCGCCGCCTTCTCAACAGGGTCCCGATGAACTTTCGAGACCCAACCTGGGTTACAGACTGTTTTGTGGGAGGAAAACATGAAAGCCAGGCAGGGGTAGGTTGGGTTTGGTGAAGGTTTGCACCACCACCCTTTCCCCCTATCCCTCATCGCCTGAAGATGTTGGACCGGGTTCACTAAACGTGCTTGAAGACACCAAGTCAACGTGCTTTGAGGTGCCTCCTCCATCGTGTTTGGAAGCTATGGGGAGAGCCCAGGTGCCTTTGAGGGGATGGGGATGGACTCATCCCATCCAAAGGGAGAAGAATCCCGCTCAAAGTCGCCGGACTCCAAACCCCAGAGCCTTCAGCAAAGCAAAGTCAAATCATGCATTAATAAAGAGGGGTAATTCCCCCCGCAAGAGATCACATCGGTTGAGTTTTACATGCAACGAAGAGCCAACTACTCACCCTGCAAGCTGAGCACCACCACAAGCACCAGCAGGACGCAGTGCCCCAAGCACCCGACTCTCAGCAGGACCCGGTGCCACCATGGGCACAAGGCTGGAGCTGCAAGAGCCAATATTTGCATTCAAAAAAAAAAAGAAACATGTTTTTGCACATGAAAATTGAAATTTTTTAAAAAAATCCCCAAATTGTGACTCCTCCATCAAGTCAGCAAGTTGGAGCAGAAGTTTACATCTGATTTGCTTCCTCCAAAAAAGATCATTGCCTCAGTGCACTGGAGAAGCTTTCTTCCACCCTAAAAACTCCCTCACTTGAGGCTCTGGTTTTGTGTAGGTCACCAGGTTCCAAATTGCTTTCAGTGGTGGAGCAATTTTGGGGCAAAGGGTGACAACAAGAGAGTCGCCGCAGCTCCAATTTGGGGGCCTTTGCTCTTGTTTGCGCTTGAATTCGCCCCTTGGGTCTAGTTGTGCATCAAGTTGGGCATAACCAAGGAAATCACCTGAAGTTTCCGTATCAGGGGGTGCAGGTCCTCAAGGGCAAATCATAGAAGCAGCTTCAGCGGCTCAATGATGGGGTTTTTAGCACTAAAAACCAGCAGGACTCAGGTATCTGCACAGCTTGTCCCCTCCAGCTCACCACAAGGGTATTTCCAACCCTCACAGAAGCAACTTGGCCCTTTTCCCCTCAACGGAAGCAAGGCCAAGGCAACGGAGGGACCCGCGTGCCCCAAAAAAGCCCCCGAACGGTCCTTACCCCTCTGCCTCTCCGCAGGAGGGATGTTGCATCCTTGGAGCTTGAGGTCGGCATAAACGATGTCCTCGGACATGGCCAAGGAGCCCGACGAGCGAAACTGCCCCGGCCACGCCAACCTTCTTGCGGCCGCATTCAGCTCAGGAAACGGCCTCTGCTGGGCTCACGTTGCCCTTTTTATCTTCGTTTTTGTTGTTTTTCTTCTTCTCGTTGCTGTCGCCTCCAGCCCGCGTTTGAATGAGCAGTGGATGAGGTCTTCTACCTTCTACGGAGGTGTAGAAATGCCTACGGGCTGCGCCGTTGCGTTGGGCAACGCTGGGCGGAGCAGCCCATAAAGCAAAGAACACAGTGGGAAACAAGAAAAATGATTATTAATTATTTGTACTTATTATATATACCCACGGGGATGTTGAGGGGTCAGGCTTTGCATCACTGTGGCTGAGCAGAGGTAGTGAAGAAGGAATAAGGCAAAATATAGAGTGTCTTGGTCATCGCTTGGCCATCACTCTGCAGCAACGTGAATGTTGGAAGAGGCTCATGAGTCGCCCAAGGCTTTTTCCTTCCTTCAAGCTCTTTCCATAAGGAAAGAGGCTCCCACGTAGCCCTCAGCAAGGCATTTTGTGGGGCACGAAGGGGCCTCCAGTTCTGGAAGAACTCCAGTTTTCTCCTTGTTTTCTGCAGGCCATTTGTGATTTATATTTCTTATTGACTTTCATTCTGCTGGACTTTGACCCAATGCCACCATCCTCCCAAGACTCCCATGGTTTTGCACAGTCCCAACCCGCCTTTCCTTTGGCTTTGGCATTCCCGAAGCCACCCCAGGTATCCCAAGGCTGCTCCTTTTCCTTCCTCATCCTCCCTGGCACTTACCCAGTTTTCCCAAGATCTCCCAACCTGGGGAGATTCACACCGGCCTGGCAGAGAGCTGCTATCTCACAGGCCAGGAAACCCAGAAATCTTCCCCAAAATATCTTCTCCACCTTGCCACCAGCAAGAGACGGAGCAAAACCCCCACAGGAAGAGAGCTATTTGTGCTTTTTGTTATTTTTTTTCTTTTTCCTGGCCTTTTTTGCGTCATGGAAAGTTTGGTTCGGTTTGGTTTTT